TCCAGGACTTAGCCAGAGGTGTATCTGTGCTGCAGTGCTCTGGCTGAGATTCTGGCAGAGGTTTCTGTCCTAGTGGGGTGACCAAAGGGTTGCAGCTTTTTTGCATCGCAGTTCAAGGGCCTAATGTTAGAGCTGCCTGTGTATAAGTACACATGTAAGTACTTGGCACTGGAAATAGCCTCCTAGAAATTGTTATTCCTGTAGTCTTTGCAGGATCTCAGGAAGTTTTGGGCACACTCTTGGCTAATTCTCATTCCCTCAGTATGTGAACAGAAAAATCCCAAACTGGCACAGGACGAACTGTCATCATGTTGCCCTTTGGGTAAAGCGGCTTATTTTCTCTTTGAACTGCTGACTGGCATGGAAAATGGATCTAGGGATACAAGTCTGATGTGTAATGCAGTAAGGCATCAAGAAAATTCTGCTTTGTTGTGGTGACTTGGATCTATTTTATAAGATCTTCACAGAAAAAACTCTTATCTATAAAGCTGACTGTGAAAAGTGAATTTGGCACTTGCAGAAAGGATAAAATTGACAACAGAAGGGGAAAAGTTTTGTTTGTTTGTATACATCATGAACAACAGCAAGAGATCATTCTTCATCCAGTCCATGACCTGGGGGCAGCTCTTGGCTTAGGAAGGTAGCTGTTGTACCATGATAACCAATTCTTTGCCTTTCTGTCTCAAATTGCTAAGGTCACGTTTTAATATTATATGTGTGAAATGGATGTGAAAAGACTATCCACCATTATAAAATTTATAAGCAGTTTCAAAGTGGAACCTAAATTTGGAATCTCTTTAAAAGTTCCACAGATTCAGTCCCTGTGATCCTTGCTCTGCTGCAGCTGTTGAGTGCCACAGCAGTGCATAAGGCCATTTGTAAATAGAAATTATGAAATAAGGTTAGTGCTTTTGTACAGTCTTTTGATAGTGTCAAAGTTACATATTTGACTTTGACCCTCTACTTTTGGGTGTTGTTGTTTTTTGTTTTTTTTTTTTAAATTCCTTGTAGTGTTGAGCAGGTAGAAGGAAGCACACACTTACCCGCTTCCCGTAGTTTTAGTTATGGATTAACCTGCACTGTGGTCTCACTGAGATAAACTGTGACTATTTTCCCTTTGAATTCTTGTTTATATGAAGATTGCTTAGGGACTGGAAAGATTTGGTTTGTACACACAAATGTCACATGGTTCCCATTTAAAGGTTGCTTTGCAAATTTTGAGTGCTTCATGACTGAGGAGGTATTGTTAGGGGAATTCTCTTGGAAAAGATCTAGAGTTATTAATAGGAGAGGAGGCTATTAAAATTTCATGACGGCTTGATTCTTCTGACTTCCACAGATAGCAGTATTTCCAGGTCACATATCATGGTAGCACATTTAATTGAATCCTTATTTTCTGAAAGGTTGTGTCATAACTGAGGCAGATGTGAGGGAGCCGAAGTTTTGCAGCAGTCAGCGGTTGCTGAGATATGAACTGGGACACATATAACTTGTCTGAAATTACAGAAAATGCTTCTGAGTATATGCTATGTGTAATTCAGTTACTTGTAAAAAAAACCCCACTGAAATTTGTTTCTTGATTTAAAAAAATAATAAATACTGCCATCAGACAACACTTAGGAACACCTAGGGGGAAGCAAGCATGGCTGTATACAATTTTCCAGTATTGCTGTCTACTACCTGTGCTGTCCCTGGATTTTGGTAATACCTCCATATTTATCTGAACAGGTGGTCAGTCATTCTTCAGCCGAAAGGACTCCATCCGAACCATCTACACATCTCTGCATAATGAGCTGAAGAAGGTGGTGGCGACGGGTCGCAATGCACTAGGAGGAACAGCTCCTCACTTGGAAGAGCTGCTTTCTCACCTGTCTGAACAGCTCTGTTTTTTTGTTCAGGCTCGGATGGAAATTGCTGACTTCTATGAAAAAATGTACACGCTCAGCACCCAAAAGTTCATTAATTCTGAGGAACTGGTAAACATTTTGGAATCCATCTTAAAGAAATACAGCTCAAGGTCAGTGCCTATTTGCTGACAGTAAGTACTGGGACGTATGATAGGTAATAAACAGTGTTGAGGTTCAAAGAGAGCCTGAAGACTTTGACTAATGAGCAGCACAGCCCCTTGTCTGAGTTCATAGTTCATGCATGAACTCCGTGTTGTTCGGCAGCATCAGAGGTGTGAAGTCTCAAAATACAGCTCCTCTGAAAAGGAAAAATAAAAAAGGGAGAGTGTTTGTACTCGTCGTGTTCTGGCAGCCATCTTCCTTATTCCTTAATTAGTACTCTGCATGGTCGTATTCAGCAGAGAGGGAGAGTCATTCTCCTTGTAAGAGATGTAAGACTTCTCATGTTTTTTCATTAGGAGTGAGGGGGAAACAAGTCTATATTCCACGTGAACTTCAGTAAAATTGATATGTAAATAAAGCAGATGTTTGTGTTGCAGTTTTACTTAGACTGGAATATGTGTCTGCTTAATTCTAAAAGCTACACCATCATTATTTGGTCTACTTAGCAGGGTTATGGTGCTGTATTACCACTTCTCTTGAGAAATGTTGGAGCCAGTAGAAGGAGCACATCTGAATCTTTGGTCCCTGCCATTACGGTTTCTTGAAGTTAAGGTCTAATAATTCCTGTTGCAAGAACCCCAGGATAGTTCTAAATGACTTTGGGATGAGTGTTTCACATCTGACACCTGTGAGCCTTGAAAGTGATGGCAGTTTAAAAACTAGAATTTTTGAATGCCTGCTGACAGACTCATATTCTGGCTCTTTGTTTTGAAGCTAAGCAAGGTAGTTGTTGTAGGAAGATAACTTTCAGCTGCAGTCAAGTTTTTTAAAACATTTGTTTGTGAAATAGTTCCTAAAGTGACATTGGGGGAGAATATTCTGAGGTCTTATTTTTTCAGTTATGATTTTTAAAGTGTACACCTAGGAAAAATCAGAATAATTCAGTGCTGCTTTCTGACACTCCACATGTAAGCCCTACAGCTGATCCTCTTATTTTTTTAGGAATAGGTTAGGCAAATTGCTGCATAATTTTACTATTTGAAAATCAAAACTGGCTTCTATGATCTTACTAGTGATTGCTTTGCAATTCTTTTCTTTTGGTTCATGATCCTTTACAATATCAGGACTGCTAGTCCAATGAAAAATGAAACTTACGTATTTTTTACCTTGGTGCAATGAACATTAAGAAGTAAAAGGAAGGAAATTTTATTTTTAAAGTTGATTTATGTTGTATACTAACATCACCAGCTGTTCTGAGCAGGTGCTGGTCAACAGCACTATTAAAACCAAAACTGGGATTTCCACAACGTGTTTGGGGACTGTTATATATGAAATGTTTTACTGGGCTATTTACATAAATTCCAGTGACATGTCTGTACTTCTAAGGCATTTTTATAACCTCTTTAAAAAAAAAAAAGCGAACTCTCACTTGGGGAAAATACTTCTGATCTTGCGTTGGGTTAATGAATGATCTCTTGGAGATGCTCCAAGGTGCCATTAGAGGTAATTCAGTAGCTGCTGTGTGGTCCTTCCTAGACATCTACAGAATATTTCAGAAAAAAAGTGAGGATAATCATATCTTCCTTTAGTCCTTCCTTCCTGTTCGATCCCCACGTGTTGCCTGATGTACTCAACAGGTGGTGTCCCTGGCGACAGGGAGGCTGGATTAAAATGATCTCTAAGGTCCCTTCCAGCCTAGGCCATTCCATGATTCAGTTTCTTTGCATCTGAGATCAGTGGGGGCTGTTATGTTGATGTGTGCTGGAATGCCTGGAAGGCATTTCTGGTGTACAGTGTTGACCCTCTCAGCTGAAAGGTCAAATCAACTCCTCCTTACTTAGTCTCTTCCTTCTGTCAATATATTCCTTGCTTGTGATGAAGGATGTGTGCTGTTATTTCTGCCAACTGAACTAAGGCCAGACAGGGCATCTGTGCTGTAGACAGGTTCTGGCCTTGGTTTCTTTCCTTTACATCATAAAATAGCTGTTCAGATAATATAGAGCAACTAATTGCTTGCTGGTAAAGGAATGACAGAATTAATTGACTGTCAACAATCAAGTCATACTCAAAATCATTAACTCTTGAACAGTTTAGAGATATTTTTTACTACTTATTACTGACTTGTACACAGCCAATATTGGACACTTTCCATTTTTCTATAGAATACAGCTGCAGAAGCAACTTTTCCTCATGTTTTTTTTTTTTTATGTGTTTGTTTTTAATTGTTAATTTGGGTAGGATCTTAAGTGAAGTAAAACAGCATCAGAAACTGAATTCTTTAAAAGCTCAGCATAAAACAAGTAAGCCTATTTGGATGTAATTGTTTTTAGGTTTTAATTGTTTTTCATCTAGTCAGCATTTTGCAAGCATATGCAATCTCTGGAAGGAAGTAAAAAGTTGTAGAAAAATGGGTCTTCTTCATAGTCTGCAAAACAAAACTCTGGCATCCCTCTGCTTTTGAGAATGATTGGAAGAAAAAAATCCATTTTCCAATGTATTTTTAAGTTTCTAACACTCTGGCTTATTGAAATATTATAAAAGCCCGTCTCTTCTAAGCAATACTGCGCTCAGTCAGATGCTTCTGTGTTATGAAACTTAATTACAGCAGATAAACTGAGTACATGACTTGTTAGTTTATTCTGCAACCCTTCAGGCTTCTCAGATGTGGCTGAGGTGTGTATTTTTGGATTAAAACAGTGTAGCAAATCCTGCTGTGCAGTGAAACATGAAAATAGCTGTGAGCCATGAAGTAAAGTAGGAGTGGGAAGCCGTACATCATAATGTTAATCCAGGAGACCTGGTAATACTATATTAGTATGATTTCTTTAATTGCTCTTCAGATTGAAGAATAACCTTTTTGGTCTGACTGCAAGTGTGTGGAAACCACAGTGCTAAGCAAGCACTCGATGGGGACTATCTGAAACAAAAAATGCTATATAATGCTTTGTTCCCCCCCTGCTTCTAATACACGGCAGTGAAACTGTTTTTCTGCTGAATACCAAAACCATTGGAAATACATAATGTTGACTGTTAGCAGAATATTACTTACAGTTGGCTGTTGTTTATTCAAAGAAAGGTAAATATGCTCTGCCCCTCTCAGCTCACCAAAGAAATCAGTCATCAGTCATAACGCTGGTCCCTGACACAGCCTGTGTACAAGAGGTGACTGCTCACCCAGCCCAGACTGTTTGCAGAACATGGTGTATCAACTGATTTATGATATTTATCATTTCATGTTCTTCATATCAATTTGGACTTGCATCTTGCATCTTTCAAGATGCGTATTGTGTCTGTCCAAAAAAAAAAGTAGTTTAAAAATGGTGATAAAATTGTCAGATGGTTTTCCCAAGCCTAAGAATTAATCTTTTGGTAAGAGTTTGATGGAAAGTCCACAAGAAGATCAAGTGTTTTGGTTTTGAACCAAGTATTTCCCAAATGGATTATATATATATATCGTCTTTTGAAAGCCGAGGGAAATGATATAGTTGCTTTCACTTTATCTGAAGAATTCAGTATATATTGTTTTAAAGCAATAACAAGACACACAGGGTATTTTTCTGAAGTGAGGGGATAAATCTGTGTTTACTTAAATGGAAGCCTCATCAGGTGTTGTCTTTGAACTGTTGGTTGTTCATTGTTGGAGACCTCTTTAAGAGTCCTAAATGCCTATTAGGGAACTAATTTACTAAAAAGGCCACTTCCGTCTTTGCTGAAGACTCAGTCTGTCTAAAGTTAAGTATTTAGCTTCTGTAACTGGACCAGTTTTGCAGAGTTTCAGTTAATGCGTTTATTGACTATGTTATAAATTTACAAGTAATTTGAATATTAAGGAAAGGGAGGTGGGCTAGATCTCTCTTTTCCTAAACATTTGGAAAAAGTAAAGTGAAAAGAGAAAGCTATAGAATGGATCTATAAAATTCCATTTTATTAAGATTTATTCCAGTAGTAGAATTGCTCTTGTGAATAAAATGTGCAGTGGCACTTCTACCTGGTGGATGAAGTGGGGTTTTTGTTTTGTTTTTGTTTGTTTGTTTGTTTTCAGTCTGTTAAATTGAGAGCTGATCTTGACCTGAATTTTTAGTGAGAGAGCTTGGTTGTTATGGTGTTGTCTTTGTGTTACGACAAAGTCCTGCCAAATGTTTTTCCCCTTCTTTGCTTTTAGTACACCAAGGTTTGAAGTTTGACGTGTTGTTCATTGGTAAATACAGTTAATCATGCTTCTGTTGACTAATTTTCAATCACAATTTTATTGTGAATTAGAAAAAGAAGAAAAAAAGAAAAAAATCTCCTTGGCTTGTCTTTCTCATAGATTCCCTCTAGAAATGGAATAAGTAACATAATTCCTTCAGTTTAATTTAATGTCTTACTGCTGTTTCAGAACTATCAAGACGTATTTTACCATCATAAGAGATTTAAAATTGGAACAAAACTACCTGAATTTAAAGAGAATTTGTGTTATAGTAGTTCATGGATCAAAATAAACAGTGATTGTTCTTGAACTGCTTGAATATAATTGTTTTGCTTTGATATGTCTGACAGGTGTTTTTTTTTTCCTAAATGCAAAATGCTGTGCACTCATTAAAATATTTGACCTAATTATGTTAAAAGCACTGTTTTTTTAATTAACAAGATTATGGTTTTGTTTACACTTTACTGTGCTTTGATGTTTGATCTTCTGTCTGTGAACTGACAGATACTATGTGATTATTTCACTGTTGAGTACGGCACTTCTCATGTCTTGACTTAACGTTGTGTTTTCTAGATTTCATCATCCAATCCTCAGTCCTCTCGAAAGCAGTTTTCAGCTGGAAGTAGATGTGCTTGCACATCTCTTAAAGGCTCAGGCTCAGATCTCAGAGTGGAAGTTCCTTCCATCCCTGGTCAACTTGCACAGCGCTCACACAAAACTACAGACTTGGGGCCAAATTTTTGAGAAGCAGCGAGAGACCAAGAAACATCTGTTTGGAGGGCAGTCGCAGAAGGCTGTACAACCTCCGCACCTTTTCCTCTGGCTGATGAAGCTCAAAAACATTCTCCTTGCCAAGTTTAGCTTTTACTTTCACGAGGCCCTTAGTCGCCAGACAACAGCATCCGAAATGAAGACTTTGACTGCTAAAACAAATCCCGATTACTTCGGGAAAATTTCCAGCTTTATCCGGAAGTACGATGCCGTCAATGTTTCCTTAATTTTTGACAATCGTGGCTCCGAGAGTTTTCAGGGACATGGTTATCATCATCCCCATTCATACAGGGAAGCCCCCAAAGGAGTGGATCAGTACCCTGCCGTGGTGTCTCTGCCCAGCGACAGGCCAGTGATGCACTGGCCCAATGTAATCATGATTATGACTGACAGAACCTCTGACCTCAACAGTTTGGAGAAGGTTGTTCACTTCTATGATGACAAAGTCCAAAGCACGTACTTTCTGACTCGCCCTGAACCTCACTTTACCATTGTAGTTATTTTTGAGTCCAAGAAGTCGGAAAGGGATTATCATTTTATTTCTTTTCTCAATGAAATTTCACATTCCCTTAAGAACTCCAAAGCTTTTGCGAGCTTGAAGCCTGGATCCAAAGGGTAAAATGCAAACCACTTACAAGGAGGCAAGGCAGTCTGCTAGCCTTGGGGGAGCTGAGGCTTTCAAGGGTTACATAAATTCGTGATTCTTAGAGTCTGATTAAAAAGGAACCATTATTTTTAATGTTGCAAGTTCCTTTTTTTTTAAGCTAACACTTTAGAAAAGTATTTTTGGGCAGTACTCAGTGGGACAACTTAGTTGTGGGGTTTTAATGGCCACCGTAGGATTTTTGGTGTGGTTTTCAATTTTCAGTATGATTTATTTTTTCAGTCTGCAACTTTGTTGCCTGTATCGGAAAAGAATGTATGCACTTTATCTTAGTCAAATCGTTGACTGTCTTCTATAGAATTTATTGAAAATATGGTGGAGATGGAAAAAACTATCTTTTCAGAAAACTGATGATTTCTAGGAACTAAACACTGATACAAGGAAATATATATATTAAAAAAAGGCAATACTGCAAGGACACATTTTAAATAAAAATACATGAATCGCAAAAGGCACTATTGTTAATTATAATTTAGTTTTCAAATGATTTAAAATGATAATTAGGGTTTCTGACACTCTGTTAAGCACCAGTCTCTATTCCCAACACCCTGTGTCATAAAACTTTGTCGTTGCTCCAGAACACAGGCTGGGGCAGGAAAAGCTGCGGCGTGGGCTGGAAGGCCAGTATGCACTGGAGTGCAGTGACATAGTGTTTCCTGTGCCAGTCTTGGCTCAGATTAACTGAAGGAGACAAGCTGAGGTTGAGCAGGTATTCTAGAAGGAACAGATCCACGGAAAAAGCAGCAAAGCTTTTAAGTTGTGCTTTTATTTGGCTAAATTATTTTTAAAAAACCAAAAAACAGCATTAGGAAATGCCCTTTGTAAATGGTTGTTCTCTAATTTGCTCCTGGTGTCCAGCTGAAATAATTTTCAATTTTGTGGAAGTATGTATTTTTTTTTCTTTATGTTCAATTTTAAATGATTTCAGAATTAAGCCAAATCACTTTGGGAATTTGGATTTAAATTTATATCCTATGCGGCTATGTTTACCTCATTTTAAAATGTCTCTTTTGCCACTTACTTCCAGGCTGCAGGTTTAGAAAAAGTATGTTTTTTAGTTACCCAGAAAGTGCTTAATTTTGGAAAACAGTATTTCCAAATACAATAAAAGGGTCAATTTGGCTGTACCTGTAGCCTTATACTGCATGATTCTTCTGACTGTTGGCTATGCAGTTGTGCAAGCGCTTTCGTGGGGCTTCAGGACAGGTATGGGTCAGCTGTATTTCAGTATGGTATGGTTAGATCAGTAGTAGAGACTGTGTTAAGATACGACATCATCAGATTTGTTTTAAAAGGGAGTTTAAGTTAAAATGCTGCTTTCTCTTAAGACTGAAATATAAAAGGTACCGTTGCAGACATGGCTTTTACTGATTGCCTTTCTCTGCCACAAAAGGGTATGGTAACTTGTCTTGCCTCTTGTGGCAAGTACCGATTTCTTTACAATCACATAAGCATGTTCTGTTCTTGAAATGTAGCTCTGACTTTCCACTTTGTGCAAATAGAGCCTTCCATGCTTTGCTATAACTCTATGGTAGGTCTGCTATGAATATCTGTGCCACTTAACTGCATTTCACTGCAAGGCTTAGTCTGACTGCAGCCCCTTCTCAAAAGTTTAGACTCTACTCTTTACCATCGGCAAGTAAAAGGAGTTGCAAATATACCAGTGCCTGGTTGTAACAGTGTTACCCTCTGGAGCTTGAATTTTCCTTTTAAGGGGACAAATTTACAAATGACAACGTTGAGAGAAATTATGTGCTTCCCGCTGTGGGACAGTGACCTTGTAATAACATTGTACTACTGACTTCCTCAGCCTGAGTAACAGAAAGGAGGCTGACGCCAGAACTGATTCCCGGTCTTCAGCAGTGTAATAAAGTGTTGTACAAATTCTGTCTGCCTCTACAGTGATTCTAGGTCCTACTAGCTCTCTGTGGGGAAGGGGAGACTCGGGGAGGAGACCGCATGTGGTTCAGAGAGACACCTTGCTCATTTCTGAGCTGCAGGGGCTATGTTACAAGAGCTGCAGGAGAAGCCTGCCGCCCTTTGGAGCAGACCAGCAGGTTTTACTGGCTGCTGAAATGGCTGGAGACTGTTCCCAGTGGTTTTTATGGGGAGAGGAAAAGGAGGCAAGATTTCAAATCCAGCAGCATGCTGCACGCTTCATTCCTCAAGTCCTGGTTTTTGGTCCAAATATCTCCAGCCCCTCATCTCGCAGTAAGCCGAGCGTCTCCTGCCACTGTTTTTGGCAAGCAATGTCTCTGGGGGCAGCGAGGGGATGCCAGGTGATGTTTCTGTGCAGGAGAAGATGAAACTTGCTTTGTCCCTTATGTGTGCGGGGGTGGTTTACTGTGGTTTTCTTTAGAGGGTCTTGGGGAAGTGGCAAGAAGAGTCGTCTGACTTGTGGGTAAGAATTTCTGAACATTTAGGCTGACGAAGAGCTGGAGAGAGCTGTGACCATTATTTTCATGGTGTGAGAAGGGAGGGAATGGGAAACAGTGAGAGGGAATTGGGTGCCAGAGAGAGAAACTTTTGTGGAGCTGCCTCTGGGTTTCGAAGTTCTGTCCCTGATGGTCTTCTTGTAAGTTCTCAGCCTTAAATTAATACAAGGTGGGGAGCAGAAAATCCAGGCTGTAGGAAGTGGCTTGGATGAAAACTGCAGAGGTGAAGCTGAAGAGAGATTACAGGAGAATCGATATCAAGTAATTTTGCAGAGTTGAGGTACACTGCAACCAAAGTGTGTGTGTGGAGTGAGTACATGTGATGAATAAATATTTATAGATTTATCAGCCCCCTGCAGACTTGTGGCACAGTTTCTTATTTGATGCATCAAGGAGTTTATGTTTTAAATGACAAATGAGGTAGCAGGGGGACTGAGTTACCTGTGATGTAAAATTGGCTAGGCCAGTAAAAAAAACCCACATAAGGGAGGGAACATATCTATGAAGTAAGTAAAGGTGACCAGAAACTCAGTAACTGGAAAAAAAAAATCCATTACTAACTTCAGTACTGGAAAGATTGACACTCTCTTTGCTATAAGAATTGGAGAACAAATGCACTTTTGCCAAGCCGGGCAATACCCCACTTACCAGATTTTTCTCTCCACCAATTTAGCTAAGCAGAACTGAATGTCCTACTGTACTTTAAAAGTTGTATGTAAGTGACTGCTTTAAATGCAAGATGTAAAGATCTTTGTGATAGCATAACGGAAGCTGATGCTTCCAGACATATTTAAAAGTTTTTAAAACAGGTACCGAGATTTGATATAGGTACCTCTCAGATTGCTTAGAATAGCAACGTGGAAGCTTATGCCATAGCAGATTTCATATACCTCATCACTTGCTTGAGCCTGTGAGGATTTTGGCAGAACATTTGCCTGGAATGTGAATTGACAGCAAATGTATTCTCATATCTCTTACATGTTTTATATTTATGTCTTGTAAGCTGTTTTCTTCTACATGTGGTGTTCAGGTGTTTTTCTTGAATAAAACATCTTCCTTTTTTTCCCCTCCCAAGCATGAAGACGTTGCAGGGAATGGAAACTGCTAATATATTCTGTATCGTGCTGCAGAGGACTACAAGACACGCATAATACACATAATATTCAGGTTATAGTGATCTAAAAGTAACAAACTCCTGGTATCTATTTGAATACTAACACTCAGCGTTTATGCAATTCACTTAAAAAAAAGTCTGAGCTGTAAGTGGAAGTAATTTCATGGCAATCTCCCAGTTAATTATTGCTTTGGTCCGCTTGTCTTCATACACGAGCTTTTTGAGACACTTATGATCATTCTGGTGGTTCTTTGTTTGAGGTCAGTTATCCGAGGCTTCCTTGTGTAGGTGTCGACAACGCCTGCCGCTGCAGATGAGCCTGC